TAATAGTACTTGCTCGATAATACTCGCTCGAATAGTAATCCGTATAGTGATTGGAATAGAAGAAGAATATAGTGACTAGAATAGAGAATAGCGGTCCGTATAGTAATCGAAGACAGAGTAGAATAATGATCCGAATAGTAATAGAGGATAAAATAGAAATGCGATCAATCTAGATGTCATGCTACTACCTCCCATATATGCGTTTCCTCTATGGTTACGTGGTCTACTTAATTCAATAATGGGATCGCCTGTGTTTGTTCACTGGCGACCTATGTTCAAACTCCAGTTTCGGCAGCGAGACTTTATTCATATATAACAGTCGGAAACGGAATAAATAGGTGCATAACCTACAAAGGGGCTTCTAAGATTTCTCTAATATTATTTAAAAAAATAGTACTGGTAAAATTTACAACAATCTCAAATTCATGTATCTATGAATTGAAAAATATGGATTAAATCCAACAGAATAATTAAATAAAAAGCAAATTAAAAAACGTTTATAAATTTAATACCTTTCGCTTTTAAATTTAACGTCATCAGAATGTTTTTGGAAATAAGAGAATTCAGATAAAGTTTCGGTATTTTGAATTCTATGTTGTATTTCTTTTTTTTTTTTTCATTAGTCAGGTAGATCTCATGTGTTTATATTTTGTTACTTTAGTGGGTGTTTGTTGGGAGTGTGTCTGAATTTTTGTAGAAGTCTTTGTGTCTCTCTCATAGTGTCTGCGTGTGTGTGTATTAAATTGAATTTACTTTTTGCATCAATGTAACTGTTTTTAACCAGAGAGAAATACCATCACATATGTATGAATTGCTATGATATTGTCAACTCAAAGCAATAGTCTTGCTCGAAAACAAAAGAATAGCAAAAATCGTGTACCGATAGGAAATTTGAGCGTTTTCTTCTGTCCAATGTCGTGACGTGTCGTGTCAGGCTCATACGTAAAGGGTAATTTTAAAATCCTACGGTTGCTTATGCATGTATAAAAAAACGCACAGAACAAGAACGGGTTGCATTACGTACATGTCATGGAATACCTTGTATGTCAGAAGGGTCAGCCATCTACTATAAATCAATTGCTATAAATACTCTTGCATTTCAGAAACGTTTATGGAAACATGAAACCAAAAATTTAATTTGAATGTCCATGAGTATCATGAACTGAGGCCAAAAGCTTTTGTAGTTATTATTAAATTTTGCATTATGTAAAAGAAAGTGTGAATTACCCAATGACAGAAATATATATATATATATATATATATATATATATATATATATATATATATATAGAGAGAGAGAGAGAGAGAGAGGGGGGAGGAATCTCCCGTCGTTTAGGAAACCATGAGGTCAAAATGTATTTGTGTGTCTTCTGCAAAACACTAAACCTTCACTTCTTTTTGCAAGCCACACTACATCATTCATGCACAAAATGTTGAACGGAGACAGTATTCTTCCAAATTTGTCTTACGTTCTTTATGTGCTCCAATCTTGTGTGGATTTGGCTCTGAATGCCACTTTGGCGTGTCTTTTTTTTTTTTTTTTTACACATAGTACGGTTAGTGTCATATTTCTCAAACAATGATGGTTGTATTCCGATGTGTTTTATATATATATATATATATATATATATATATATATATATATATATATATATAACGTCATCCACAGACAGACTGTTTTGCTGTTTCACAGCTCATCAGACAATGGCTAGACATCCGGTTGCCTCTAACTAGGATCGAAACCCGACTGAGTTGGTGTCAGTCGGAGATTCTACCACTAAGTCGTCGGCAGGGATGGAGGTGAATTTTACTGGTATTTATTTTAGAAACACACACAGTGACTGACAGTGACTCAATTCGCTTTTATGAAGAGTCTCATATATATATATATATATATATATATATATATATATATATATACAGATGTGGTTTCCAGAATACCATGGGACACTTATACTTAAAATCAGAAAAGAAACAGATGGAATTTCTATGACTCGTAATGATGAAAGAGGGCTCGGAGGATTTGACACTCACAGGATACTCTGAAGGTAAGAGGGCAGGAGTGAATCAGTGAGTAAACTACCTAACGAACATCTGTAAACAGATGGTGGGGTAGTAAGAGAACAAACATGACATCAAGCTCCGAAAGATCAAAATTGGGGAGAGCCATGATCACCCATGCCCTGCTATTAATAAGAGATTCAGGGATGCCGTTTTCTAGTGCAAAACATATCCAAGTACCAACTGTGGAAGTGATCATCTCCCAGTGATATGTAAGCTTAATTAAAAAGCTCTAAGGCAGGACCGAAATTTTAATACGACACAGTCTTTGACGAACCGAATCTGAAAAAAATATATAGACAGTTTGAAAAGCAGATACAAGGGCCAAAATAAAACGGAAACTCAAAGTAGGACACTTTAAGAGAAACTTTAGTAACATCAGTATTACATTTCTGGAAAGTAATAAACCCTTTTACCGAGTAAAAGGCTTGGGAGGGGGGTATTGTGGGAACCTACCTACAAATGGACTCTTCCACACCTATATAATATGGCTACCAACTCTGAGTAAAGGGAGTCACCAAGTGAGGGTCACCGAGTAGTAGCCATAGAGTGAGTGAGTGAGTCAGGACACCAGTGAGAGAAAGTACTCTCCAGTCCCCATTTACCTTTGTACTACGTTTCCGAGAATATACTATTTAACCTTATATCCGAGTCCGTGTTATCTTTCTATGGTTCTACACCATAACAATCAGCAATCGAGATTACCCCAAAGGTAAGTACACAAAGAAAAAAAAATGATTGAATGATAGACGAAATTCTCGACATGATGAAAAGGAGACATAAAACTATGTCAAGACACAGAACAGAATACAGGACAGTTCAGAAAGAAATAAAGAACATATGCAGGTAGGCTATAGAGGAATGGCTCAAGGAAAATGAACAGAAAAAAAGAAACAATTTGTATCACAACTAAACCAGACATTCATACAAAATAAGAGAATAGGACAGAAGATATGCTCAGCAACAGGATGCATAGAATCCAAAGACAGAACGCTGATATTATAAAAAGGAAAATACTCCAAAAATGGAAAAAATATATCAGAAAACTCTTTCACAGTGAAAGAGAACAACATGCAATATACAGAAATATCGACGGATCGGAAATATTAAAATCTTAAGTGGAATCCGCATTGGCCTAATTGAACAGAAACAGAATGCCAAGGCCAGAAAGAACTGTAACAGAGATGCTAGGGGCCTCAGACGATTTCGGCATAGACAAGATCACAAAAATAATAAATGAAATCTGCAACAGTGATAATATACTGGAAAACCTAAGTAGATCTATTTTCATTGCACTGCCCAAAAAGCCAGGTGCAAATGAATGTGAACTCCATCGGACAATTAGCTTAATGAGCCATACAACGAAATTTAACATCGTAATTCTGATGAATTGAGCGCGCATCAGAATCAGATCGAAAAAAGAACAAGAACAGTGCGGGTTCATCAAAGACACGAGAACAAGGAACGCGATATTTATGCTCAGAATGTTATCAGAAAAAGCAATACAAATGCAGAAGAAGACGTACCTGTGTTTTATAGATTACGCAAAGGCGTTCGATAAAGTCAGCCAGAAAGATCTGTTAGAGCTGCTCAGCAACCTTGAAATATTCGGGAAAGACATTAGAATAATCAGGAACCTACACTGACAGCAAACTCCCTGCATACGAATAGAAAATGAGTTCAGCAGGTATACAAAAATAGAAAGGAGTGTAAAACAAGGATGTATTTACTCACCGGACTTATTCAACCGAAACAGCGAGGCAATTCTGAGATATGTCCTACCAGGATTCATTATTGGCGGCTACAATCTTAACAATATATGGTACGCAGATGACACAGTGTTGATAGCAGACCCTGAATAAAAGCTACAAAAACTCCTACGGAAGGTAGAGAAGGAAGAAAGAATTAAACATCAATTACAAGAAGACATAATGCATGGTTGTTAACAAAAGGATGAGTAAAAAAAGTGAGAATTGAAATCGGAGATATTAAAATCAAACAAGTGTAATATCTGGGATGTCTCTTAACAGAGGACGGGAAGTGTGACACTAAAATCCGAAGACGTATTGAGATAGCCAAGGTGGTATTCCAAAAGCTAAGCAAAGTACTAAGAAATAGAAATATTTCACTAGAAACAAGGAAAATTGTACTGAACTGCTACGTCCTGTATGACAGTGAGTGCTGGACGATCTTCAAAAAGACTAAGAAGACACCTGAATCAAGAGAAATGTGGTTCTACAGAAGGACGCTGAGGATGCCATGGGCCGAACATGTGAGCAACGACAAAGTTTTAGATAAAATGGAAACAAAAAGGAAACAAATACTTAAAAATTAAGAGACAGAGTACATAATGATGAAGGAGGGCTTGGAAAATCTGATACTCACAGGACAGATAGAGGGTAAGAGGGATAGAGGAAAGCAACGCATAACATAACGTACTTGGTGAGCTTGAGTAAATGAATGGCAAAACAGGGCTTAAGAGAAAGATAAAGTTTATTAAGAGCTACAAGAGACAGGAAGTTGTGAAGAGCCATGATCGCCTACTCACTGAGAGGACACGGAACATCAGTAAGAAAGAAGAAGAATGTAGTGAGTTCCATTCTGGTTGAGTTCCCTACCACTTCAAGATTTGTATCTATGTGTATGGGTGCTTACGCATAGATATTCACTAAACTTAGCTTAGTTTGACAAAATATATAGGGCACACGCCTTAAAGTATATATTATTGTCATAGTGCTGGGAGTGGTCAGTACTTTTTTTTCTCCTGGGCATTTGAAACTCTACCTTTTTGTAATTTTGGACGCTGATATCTGACACAGGAAACAAACTCGATGTCGAATGGCTATCAAGCTACACCCAGATTAAATTCTAACATTTTAGGCGCTGCAGTTTAAGAAATTGAAATTTCTTTTCTTTTTATCGAACCACAACAAAAAGAATCATTTGCTAGATAGATAGATAGATAGATAGATAGATAGTGAGCAGACGATAGATAGATATATAGATAGATAGATAGTGAGCAGACGATAGATAGATAGATAGATAGATAGATAGATAGATAGATAGATAGATAGATAGATAGATTTAAATCGACCGACTTCAAAGTTTCGCGGAACACCACTCATCTTGGTCAGAGGGTCAAATAAATCTACTGAATTATTTCCAGATATCGTATTCGTATAATAAAGACTCAAAAACAAATTGAAATTTGTGCTATGATGGATTCCATTAAAAACTTGGCACCTCTTAAATATTTACAATCAATTAAAGCGTTCATTTTTTTTAAGTATGGTTTCGTCGGTAAAAATATAATTTTGCGGAAAAAACTTAAAAATCGGAAAATAGAGAGATGTTTCAATCTCTCTATTTTCCGAACAAGTAAACAAGTAAATAATCGGTAAGTTTGAATATAACGATAGTCGTTATATTCAAACTTACCGATTATTTACTTGTTTAATTTAAATTACTTAACTATATATTTATTTTATTTAGAAAAGATAACTTAAACATGACCAATATTTACATGTAACTTCAATTATAATAAAAGCAGATGTCGATATTAAATAACCGATCAAAGGTTGATATATATTAAAATCTACCAAACCAACGTAATATATGATTATTTAAAATATTAAAAAAACCCAAAATTTGACTGAAATCTGATGGCTCTAGGAGTATTAAATTTGTGTGTGTATGTAAAGGGGTAGATTTTTTATTTATTAATCCGACAGATTTGTATTACTTTATACGTTATTTTTAGTGGATACTCGTATTTGAATAGACGCTCCTTTTATTTATTAAACAGTATATTTATTTATTTTCGTCTACCGGCCTGAATATTCAAGAAATTTTATTAAGGAAAATATGTGCCCTCTAGCAGGATTTGAACCTGCGTTCCTCTCTCGGCTACAGAGTGCGTCGTTGACCAAGTAAAGCTGAATAGTGTCTTTAAATAAAGACTTTTCTCTGACTCTTTAAATAGACATATCTGCTCAGTTTCGTATCCTAACGTAAACAAAGCAATTTGTAAAGAAAGGGGTGGATTTTTTTATTCATTAATCCGACAGATGTTTATTACGTATTGTTATGATCCGGTTCCTTGTACCACGGTAATAGTCCAAGGTAGACCCAATAAAGACGAACTCGAAGGCGGATATGGAATAACACAGATATATTACAAACAGGAATATATGCAGAGAGGTAGAAAGGGTTAGTACGAACAATCAGGTTTAGTAGTAATTGTCTGAACGCGACTCTGTTTCGGACTGCCTCTGACTCGACTGACTGACTCGCTCTGACTGACTGACAGACTCCTGACGGACTTCAGACTGAACTCCAGACTGCAGACGGAACTCTCTGCTTCCTCTTGAGGCGCAGTATTTATTACGTATGGAATAGTCCATTATGTTATTATGGGTAAGGTCCCATAACACGTATTTTAGTGGGTACGTGTATTTGACTGGATGCTCTGTTTATTTATTAAACAGTATATTCATTTATTTTTGTCTTTGGTAATGTAGAAATCATGATATTATTATTTCTTCTAATTACATGTATGTCATAGCATACATACGGACGATAATGGGTATATCCCCATTCACATAAATACAGTAGTAAATATTGTATGCAGTTGGAGATTCGTCTCCAGCTATGCTGGTTAAACTCTCTCCCTCCGGGCAGAGAACATCCCCAGATGAGGCTATGTCGAAGGGTAGAGTCTTGTCTCGAGAAGTAGCTACAATACCCCGTTTTATATGTGGTCTACACGGAATTTTTGGCCAAGGCTGTGGGCTCGGATACTCCACATTAAATTCGGCCTTGTGCCACATCTGACCGCGTGGAGCGGTGGTAAATATCCTGCAGTTGGAGATTCGTCTCTGGTTGTGCTGGTCAAACACTCTGCTCGAAGGCAGAGAGGATACACAGACGAGGATATGTCGAAGGGCAGAGTCTCGTTTCGGGAAGCAGCTACTCGACCCAGTTTTATACGAGGTCTACGAGGAATTTTTGGCCGAGCCTACCGGTTCAGATACCCCGCATTAAATTCAGCCTTATGCCACATCTGACTTCGCTGTAGATATCCTGCAGTTGAAAATTCATTGTGGAATTGACACACTTCTAACAGTTGACTTCTTCTCCTACGCGCCGCAGGCGAATCTTATATGTGTTGTTTTTGTCCTAAATATTATTCTATTCAGTAACTTTTCCTAGGTTACACAATGCGCTAACCATTTTTGTTGCAACTACTGTTCCATGTATTCAAGTGATGTGATCTTTGTTATTTATTAAGGCTATTCGTGATTTCGTACAGCCTATCGTCTATAAAGTCTGATGAAGGATTGTCTTTTTTAAATAAAGCATATTTAATCTCACACTAGATAGACAGGAAGGTATACTCATCCTGTGTCAATCCAGCCTAAGACGAGACGAGTGTAAACTGAAGAATACATTGCACTAGTGACAACAACATGTTTTTCTTAAAAAAAATGTCATCATTTAAAATTGTGAATTTTACACTGAACTCAATGGGAATAATTGCCTCAGCTACAAAATCATACTTGTATGAGTTCGTGTGTGTAAAAGAAAGAAAGAAAGAAAGAAAGAAAGGAAGGAAGAATTGAAAGAAACTAGAAACGAACAAAGAAAGAAAGAAAGAAAGAAAGAAAGACAGAATAAAGAAAGAAAGAAAGAAAGAAAGAAAGAATTGGAAGAAACTAGAAATAAATAAACAAACAAACAAACGAACAAACAAAGACACAATAATGGAAGAATTGGAAGAAACAAGAAAGAAAGCAATATAAAATAATAGAAAGAAAGAAAGAAAGAAAGAAAGAAAGAAAGAAAGATTGGTGGAAACTAGAAAGAAAGAAACAATTGGGGGAAAATAGAAAGAAAGAAAGAAAGAAAGAAACAAACAAACAAACAAACAAACATACAATAATGAAAGGCTTGGAAGAAACAAGGAAGAAAGAGAAATAGAATAATGAAAAGAAAGAAAGAAAGAAAGAAAGAAAGAAAGAAAGAAAGAAAGAAAGAAAGAAAGATATAAAAAAGCAAACAATCAAACAAACATACAATAATGAAAGGCTTGGAAGAAACAAGAAAGAAAGAAAGAAAGAAAGAAAGAAAGAAAGAAAGAAAGTGGAAGATCGTCAATGGGAAGTGAGGGTGTAACTATCAACTTCTTCGGTCTTATCCCCAACAATGAGTTTTCTTTAAGAAGGAGAAAAAAGAGCTTGTCAAAAACTATCGAGTCATGCTCAAAAACCCAATGGAAGAGAAATGGTCTTTTGGTCGTAGGGTATGAGGACATGCTTTAGTGACTCCCGTCAGTTCCATTCAGGTATAAATAATCGATAATTGGAACTCTTCTGACCGTTGCCCTTCGACAAACAACACTTCGGTTGTGAAATGCTCGACTTCCTTACCAAATCACATGGTCACTGCTTCGTATCAGCAGACAAGAGGACCGTTCTTGAATAACCGCATATACCCCGTATCTCCTTGAAGTGTTGTAAAAGTATTAGTTTTAAAACTAATATTAATGATAATAGATATTTACATGGCCTAACTTAATCTGGCACAAGGCCACAACCGAGGAACACCAAATAAATATCGAACACGCTAGTAGTAATGATGTAAACAACTAATATTTACTTATTCCTGAAACAAGTAAATGCTTAGAGACTTAAATATAAAAAAAAAACAATATTTACCTATCCTGGAACCAAGTAAATGTTTAGAGATTTAAATATAAATGACCATTATTTACTTAATTGATTATGTAAATTCTAATAGACTCAAAATTAATAATAAAATGGCGAGTTTCGAGTTGACATGTTAAGTCAACGAACCTATCTCACCTGCGTGAAACAGCTACGAGAGTTACCTTGTGGCTCCTTGTGTCCGGCTTTAATCACGGCGTTATCGTTGGAGACATAGTAGATATTTTTTACATAAGTTTATAAAAAAGACTAATTACATCAGCGAACGACTACGGTGACCACTTGAAAACTAGATTTGCTCTTTGTGTTTATGATAACTTCTTTCATCAACTCAGCATTTGAATAAAACTTCCCTATCGTCTTTCACTTTCAAACAAAACATTAATGATACTCACTGAAAGCCCATAAAAGGCGGCATTTAACTTCAATATCACTGTTTATGTATTTATAGGAATTATACTAGCAATAGATAAAATTAAATAATCTTCTCCCTACTCTTTCGCGGTGATTAAGGAGGCCCGATGGAGTAATGGATGCATGGTGGAGTAATGGATGCATGGTGGAGTAATGGATAGCGGCTTGAATTGAGGAATCGGAGAGCCGAGTTCGAATTCCAGTCGAATCCATTACATTCACTTACGTGCTAACACCCTTGGGAAAGGTGTGAATCCTCTTATTCTCCCTCCAGCTATGGGTAAATAGCAGGACAAACTGGGTTCTATAGCCTTGGATGGCAACTGGTCTAGGAGAAGGACAACTCTGAATTCAAAACCTGCGGAGCGTCGTTTGGAGACCTTGTGGCACGTAGTGCACCAGGTCTCTGTGTGCGGCCCTTCAAAAAGTGTGGATGGTCCTGCACGAAACCTTCACCACTATAATCAAATCTCATGTGCTGTTGTCGGACTGTCGGTTTCCTGGTAACTGATCTAAAGCCTATACATGCGGGTTTGAGGACCGCTTGTGAATTCCAAATTCCCATGAAACTCAAATATTGGAGCCGGATCAACCCACCCCGGGTGAATGCCGTTACAAGACAAGAAGGTGATTATATCCACTAATCAGGGGAGTCAATTGTAAAATTTTACGATCGTTTTGCCCTCATCTTTACTGCCATATTCACGTCGAAACATCGTGAATATGGCAAGAAAGATGGAGACAACAATCCCAACAATGTAAATAATGTACATAATACCTCATCTCAGAAATATAGACAAGTCCCCAGAGTTCGAAACTCATAGTAGGATTAGTTAACCTTTAAATGTATTTATTATTGTTAAAGTTCTATCTGTTGACCTGAGGCTCTATAATTCCAACGACAGCATTCCTTGAAAATCTTATCTTCAACAAATGCACTGATTGGTCTGTTGTTGTTTTATTTTTGTTTTCTGTATGTTTTAAGCCAAAATCTTTGCTATTAGAATTTATGTTATAAATATTTACAAATAAATAAATAAGGGTTACTATTTTGTAAATCAAATTCGGAATTAGTCTGTTGCGTTTACTTTCACATTAATATCCTTGCTCCTCCCAGATATGTGTTAAAAAGCATTGTATATTGATATCTCTATCCTTGGGTGGAAAAAAACCTAAGAGAAGGAAAACTCTGAATGAAAAATAAGAGAAAGTAACAGGAAACTACACCACTATTATTCCCAAGATAGTAAGACAATTTACTCATTAAAGAAGAGGAAATAGTGGAGAGCTATGGATTTTGCTTAAATCTGTAATTAACCAGTCTTTAAATAAGTTTCTACTAATGCTCAATCTAATCAACAGGAGTCTAATATTAAGTGATTTTGCACATACAATATTACGCTTTAGAAAAAAGTTCTTGTTTGTTTTTTTTTAATCATTTCAGTCCAAGCAAGGTAATAAAGCCACTAAGACACAAGGGTTACTGAGTGTGAAAGGATATAAGAAAGAGAAAAATATTATTTATGGAGTGAAAACAATAACAGACAGTAAATAATGATTGACAGTGCGTTTAAATTTTTGAAAATCAAACTTGACTGGAAAGCAAGAAGCCGAAGAGAGTTTCACAAGCGAGAAGTGCGAAAAAAAGAAACTAGGTACTTTTTTATATATATAGTTGTCTTTGAAATATTTATTTAACGGGCACATAAAACGCAAAATTCATTGGTCAGTTTTTATCATAAATGTATACGTCAAACTCTAAATTTCTTACTACATTTGGTAGACTATGTCTCGGAAACAGTTAACCCAACGTGAGACTCTCTCTCTCTCTCTCTCTCTCTCTCTCTCTCTCTCTCTCTCTCTGTGTGTGTGTGTGTGTGTGTGTGTGTGTGTGTGTGTGTGTGTGTGTGTGTGTGTGTGTGTGTGTGTGTTGTTAAGGGGAGATTCGCACGTCGGACAGCCATCAATCCAAAGTGGACTATCACATTAAACCCCTTTTCGCACTATTAGCTGAACCCTATCTGATAATACAGGCACAACGTAACCAGCCTGCAATCAGCGACAAATAAAAGTCTCCATTCAGTGGAAATAAAGTAAAGCCATTTTAATGACGGTAGAGAGAGAATGAGAGGGAGAGAGGGGGAGGGGGAGAGAGAGAAAGAGAGAGAGAGAGAATTAAATGAAGAGTCGTTATCAAAGTCAACTAAGCCATTCGCTTGATGATACGGCTTGGACCTGATCGAACATTGCAAGATGGACGACTTAATCAGTTTTAACGGATTCTCAAGAGGGAAATCGCCGTAAAACCGGTGATTACGAGAGAACGCTGCCAAAGGCAAGGAAGACGAGACAGTATTTTGTGAATATGAAATTTGGAAAGATGACAGGTTGTTAAAGAGAATAAAAAGTTTCCCAACTTACATTCTGTGTGCCTATATAAGCGTGTATGCCAATCTATTTCGTGAATAAAAACATCCACATAGATAGATAGATAGATAGGTAGATAGATAGATAGATAGATAGAAATTCACGCAGGCAACATGCACAAACGCTATATATACCGAGTGTAACAGCATAATTGTCCATCCCATAGAATGTTTAATATCTAAGAAACCACTAAGCTAATTGAGTTTCTTTTTTCCAAGTTTTCAGGTAAGATGTTTAGACATCTTGACACCCTTTGTCGAAAGAATCACTAAAAAAAACTTTTTTTTTATTAAGCTAGAAAGAGAACAGGTTAAAATCGTTTTTTGTCACCCACACTGTTTTCCCAAATGAGCAATAGTGGGAGGAAAAAGATCATTCAGATCTTCATTAATGGAACCAACATTCATACTCTGGCTTCCATCTTCAAAGACCATTCAAGAACCATCAAGGGAACGGTGAATAGTTTTTAAAAAGATGGAAGAAAGGTAGAGAATATATATCCCAGAACAGAAATTCCAGCAGTCGCTTTCTGATTCTGACTATAAGTGTTCTTTTTGTTAACATTTTCTTTGAGATTTTCTAGTTATTTACTTGCTCCGTCCATGTAATTCTCACTATACTTTTCTAGAACCACATTTCTGTTGAGTCCATTTTCCTCGTTTTTCTGTGAGGAGATTGTCCTGTATTCGTTGCCATATAAGAGGATGGATATCACGAAGAAACTCAGTACTCTTTTCCTTGTTTCTAACGAAAATGTTCTGTTTCTTAGTAACTTGTTTAGTTTTTGCAATGCATCATAATGCACCTTCAGATTTTGGTGTTGTATTTTCCATCCTCTGTTAAAACACTTCACAGATATTTAAACTTCTCTACTTGTTTGATGTTGACACCTCCAATTCGTAGTTTATAGCTTGGCCTTTTTTTCTCTTTCTGATAGCCATACTTTCTATCTTCTTGCAAATAATGCTTAGTCCTTTTTCCACACTTTCATTTACTACCTTGTCTAAGAGGTTTTATAGTTTTCTTTCTGGGTCAGCCATCAACACGGTGTAACCAAATCGATACTTCAAATATACAAATCAACCATTCGCCCTTGCATGGAGTATTGCTGATATATATGGTCTGGGGCACCTTCTGATTACCTCGGAGCTCTTGACAAGATCCAGAGACGGACATGTAATATAATTGGTCCTGATCTGGCATCTTGTCTACAGTCACTCTCTCACAGACGCGCCGTCGCCTCTCTCTGTCTTTTCTACAAATACTTTCATGGTAATTGCTCCGCTGAGCTGCTTTCACTGGTTCCCAGACTCCATGAATTCAAGCGCCCTACGAGGCTGGCATCCCGCTCTCACCCTTACACTGTAGAAACTACTAAATGTAGCCGTCTCTTCTACTCCAATAGCTTCATACCTCGCACCTCTCGCCTGTGGAACACCCTTCCCAATTACTGTTTCCCTGAGAGCTATAATCTCCAACTATTCAAATGTAATGTCAATCGACATCTCCAGTTACCTTGATCTATCCACTATCCCTCTCCTCATCCTTTCTTCTAATCACTCCTATCTGCTCTTGCTTCAAATCTTCTGCAACCCCCTGCATCCTAGTGGCTTCATGCCTTGCTCGGGGCGTAATGTTTAAAAAAAAAAAAAGCGTATTATGAAATATATATTATGAAAATTACACCAACCAATAATAAATCCTGTTAATGTCTCCAGGGCCTCACTGTAGAGGTTGAATAAATCTGTCGAGAAGATGCATCCTTCTTTTACGTTTCTATCTATTTTTTTGTATCTACTCAATTTTTAATCCGTATGTAGGCGGTTTGTTCCCAATATAATTTTTGGATTATTCCATTCCTTTCCAAATAGATCTAGTTTTCCTAACAGTTCAAATACATCTTTGTGTCGTATCTTGAGAAATGCTTTTGCTTACTCCATAAAATATAAGTGCACATCATTTTGCATTTGTAATGGTTTCTCTGATGTCATTCTAATCAGGAATATCGCATTTCTTGTCCCAGTGTTCTTGACGAAGCCGCACTGTTCTTGTCCTATTTCCGGTCTAATTCTGCTTCGTCCACTATTCATCAGGATTTGTTTCATTAGTTTGGTTATTGTTACGGTCCGGTTCCTTGTACCACGTTGATAGTCCAAGGTAGAACCAATAAAAAAGAACTCGAATACGGATATGGAATAACACAGATATATTACAAACAGGAATATATACAGAGAGGTAGAAAAGTGTTAGTACGAACAATCAGGTTTAGTAGTACTTGCCTGAACGCGACTCTGTTTCGGACTGCCTCTGACTCGACTGACTGACTCGCTCGCTCTGACTGACAGACTCCTGACGGACTTCACTCCAGACTTCAGACTGAACTCCAGACTTCAGACGGAACAGTATTTAGTCACCACCCCCCACGAGGGCATCATGTGGCACAAGGCCGGTTTAACGTGGGATCTCCGAGCCCGTGGGATTTCCGAGCTCGTGGGATCTCCGAGCCCGTGTGCTCGGGTAAAAATATGCCCTTTGAACCCGTATAAACAGGTTCAGGGTCGGTTTACCTCCCCGAAGGAAACTCCGCCCTTCGGCGTAGCCTCGTTCGGGTTCCACCCCGCCATAAGGCAGAGAGTTCAACCGATAAGCCGATCAGCCGGTCGCCCGACTTCAGGCTGAACTCCCTGCTTCCTCTTGAGGCGCAGTATTTATTACGTATGGAATAGTCCATTATGTTATTATGAGTAAGGTCCCATAACAGTTATGTGACTCATTAAGCTTATTGTCCGATGGAGCACGCTTTCACTTAAACCTAGTTTCTTAGGAAATGCCATGAAGATGGATTTACCGAAGTACTTAAACTCGTCTTTCAGTGGATTTTTTTCAATTTTCTCGATGCTACAAACGACAAAGATTTGTCTGGCAGTGTGAATGTAATGAATTTTACCTTAAAAGCAGGATGCTTTTACTAGGGTTGGTGACAAGATAGTTGTATTTTAATGTACGCTAGGTTAGAAAGCAATAACTCTAATAAGAGCAGAACGCTGTTGCTATAAACACACGCCATTCCTATCACTTTAAATAGAACAAGTATGAAAGTATGCAAATTTAAAACGTTTTAATTACAACCAAGTGCTATCACTATAAATTAACCTTATGCCAAAATTTCTATCTTACCCTGATACTGCTCCTATTTCGTTATCTGTCGTTCCTTGTCCCAACAAAACCTAGTATTCTTGACATCGTCACTTGTTGGTGTTTTTGATCTTTACACGGCGGCACCAACAAGCACCAGATTTTACGGGGATTTCACCCTGTGGTCATTGTAATTCCGCTGAGGTTTCAGGTGTGAAATTTTCATGGCCGTGTTAACTTCTTTGTTTGATGCTGGCACTGTATTCTTGTCTATCTGGGCTTGTGTATGTGAGTTCGTTAGTGGCAGAAGCAACAGCAGCGGGAGGCAGAATGGTTTATATGGCCCTATCTATCGTGTCATCTTCTCTCTGGCTGATCCCGTTTGTCTCTCTAGCTTTCACCCGTCTTATTTATATAAGGAAATTTGCAAACCTCTGATTTTGATTTATTGCATCTTTCTCGATAAGATATTGTGACCTACCTTCGTCCAATAATAGATGTCCCTCTTAGGAATGCGGTCAGGCCAAACCTTGTCTAAATTTTGGTAACAATAGGAACTCTACAAGTACTGGAAGTTGGAAAATTTTAGAAGACAATAAATCTTTGTCATGTTCCTCTGGAGGCAACTGGCTAGATTGTGGAAGTCCATGTCTTACTAAATGTTAATGAATTCTACCTGATTTATTTCAACATCTAATCTTCCTGGGGTAGTATCCAAACTCATTTTATGGCTTCTAAATATTATTTTTTTATCATTTTACTCTAAGCAAGGCAATAAAGCCACTAATGCACTAGAGGTTACTGAGTGTGAAAGAATAAAAAAAAAGAAAATATTATTAAAGAGCGATAAAAAATAAAATAAGATAAATCAAGAAGACAGTATATAACGATTGACACTGCATTTAAATCTTTGAAGATCAAATTTGGATGGAAAGCAAGAAGCCAAAAGAGAGTTCTACGAGCGAGAAGTGCAATAGAAGAAACTGTTAGCAAAGAACTTACGGTTACACCTAGCCATTTCAACTATAAAATGATGAGAAATTGACGCCAATCTAGCACTGCACTTAAATTCATAAATTCTAGGTACTATAGAGGAAAGTTCATCAGAACAATTACAATGAAAGTAATTATAGAAAAGAAACAGGGAATCTACATTACGGCGGTGGGAAAGTGACTCAAGCCGAGATGCCAGGTCAGGACCAATAACATAATAACTTTTTGTTTCTTTTTCTCTTCGACACAATTTTTTTGAGTTTTTCACTGTTTAGTTTTAATTATTTCCTGCTTCTAGTCGTCATTAGATATTCTTCACGCGGTAACATTTTGTGCCAAGGTTCTCATTCCTGTTATAAGTATAAAACACTATGAATAAAAATGTGTAGTTGTTTTTTGTTTTTTTTTACAATTGTTAAATTTTTTTATAATTTTAACCCGACAGATACACTGTTATTAAAATCACAATAAACATTATAACTACATTCTTTAATAAAACTCAATTTATAAATTTACATTAACTGTGTTATTTTTAATACTGAATATGGAAAATAGAATGTCAAATAAAATCATCGAAATATTGAAAACAAGTTTCGGTTTTAAATACCAGTTTATACGGTCAAAACAACAGATACTGTCGCGTTCATGTATATATACATAAACAAAAAACAAACCGGCCTGCTGGCGTTCATAAATGGATAACCAGACATAGGCAGAATAACGAAAACCACCAGAAGATTTAAGATTAAATAAAACGACATTAATATTAGCAATAATTAGATAAGTAATTATTATTATTATTGTTGTTGTTTTCACCCTTAAAACGCATGAGGATAGTTACGTATGCAAATTACTAACTTCACGCCTCGACGGTGGAGAAGGAAGAAAATGACGAGAGAGTTCCATCAGATTCATACTAAGCTGTTTGATTAATTCCCCTTAATCAACTAACGGAAAATTCCATGATAAGCAAGATCGACATCATACTATGCACGTTTCAGTTGCATGCCTTCACGCTGGC